AGAAGAAAGGATTGAGCAAGAGAAAGCTCAAGAGAACATTTGACTTCTTATCTGACGGGAATAAATGTTTCTACATTCTTGCCACATAATTGAAGGAATTAAAAAAAAAGCAACAAATAATTTTGTTTATTTACAAAAGTTCGCAGCAATTTATAGTTAATACTTTTCTAAGCATATTAATTTTTACGAAAAAAAAATTATTGATTAGTCCATCTTACAGCAACATAGTGTGGCCATGATATATTCGAAATATTGCCGGCCATGGCTGACTATATGACTTTATTTCTCCTGTCAGATTTGATTCACTTGATTGGGTATTCTACTTTAATATGAATTTTATTTTTTTGTACCGGTGCATGATGTTTACTATATTCCCTATCTATGGACATTTAATATACAGCTCATACAAGCTGCTCGGGGCTTTGACACATTTATTTTGCTTATAGCAGAATAAAATTGCATAAAAGTTTAGCTTCACGTCGGGAGCGCGCTTAACCATTGCCTGAACCAAAGCTTGAAAAATTGTTTGCAAATTTAATGAAAAGTACTCTACCTCACCTCAAATAATATTTTTTCAGCATTGACGAATAGACCAATTGTCTAGAAATTAAAATGGTTAAAAAAATATGTGTATGCAAACAGAAAAAAAAATTTTTGAAACGATTTAATTTAAAGTTTCACAAAACTGAATCAAGATTATTTGTGCCTATTTACTAAGGTTAACAAATAATATAACGGCTAATTCAATTTTTAAATTTATTCATATTGTAAAATTTATCATATAATTCATATGTTTTTATGCATTACATAAAGTTATGATTTTTAACTTTCCGCTAAGAAAGTTGAAAATTTTCAAAAATCGGGAAGTTATTGGTTTTACCCCGTTTTTCGAAAATCGAGTTCTCATCATATCTCGACGTTTTGAGGTCCTAGGAAGCTTCCCCGAATGTTTCCGCGATGTGTGTGTGTGTGTGTGTGTGTGTGTGTGTGGCCCTCTTATAACTTTTAAATGGCTTGACCAATTTCTTCGCGGTTGGTGCCATTCGAAAGGGGTTGACCAAACTTAGATTTTGAATATACTTTGGACCGATTCGAACGGGTAGATTTTGAGAAATCTAAAAAAAACTACAAAAAAAATTTTTTGAAATGTGGTTTTTTTTTCAATAACTTTTAAACGGCTCTACCGATCGATTTCAAAAATTAATCAGCTCTTAACATCAAAAAACCACGTCGATCGCCGCCAGCTCGGTCAAAATCGGTTGATTCGTTCGTGAGTTATCGTGAACGAAAGAAAACCGAAAAAAGTGTTTTTTCGGGATTACTCCGAAATTTTCGGTTCGATCAATTAAAACCTGAAAATAACTTATGAGGATGATAAAACTGCGTCGAATACCGCCAACGGCGTGAAAATCGGTTAATCCATTCAAAAGTTATTGCGGTTTGAAAATTCAAAAAGTTGTGTTTCATTAAACTGCTATTAGAGTTTTGAGCTCAAAGAGCTCAAAATGACACAAAAATTATATTTATCTTGAATGATTGAAGTAACATTACCTTGAGCCGAAAAAAATTTGTCTCAAGAAAATTCCTCTTTATTCCAAAACAATTTGGATCTTTCTTAACAATTTTTTTAGTTAAAATAAGCTTTTTTCTAAGTTTATTTTTAGAATAACCGTAAAAAAATATTATCCTCATTTTTTTCCAATCAATTAAAGTAAAAACCTGAATCTTTCATGATCGAGATATTTTATTAATACCTACATTTTTTTCTCGAATATTTAAACTGTCATCCTGAGGCCGATTAGCCTTATTCATCTCCTTATAATACGTATGGAAAAAAAATTTTTTTTTCCGAACCCAAAACTCGGCTAATACTTATTAAAAGTACTTTTATTTTTATTTGAAAAATTGTTTGTAATTCATGTTGGGGCTTATTCAAAGTAAAAGGTTTTTTTTAATTACTAATATATGTAGAGCATTAGACTTAGGCTTTTTATTTGTAAATTATTGATTTATTTTAATAATATTTAAAAATAACCCCATGTACGGCTATTCATAATATGTTGAGATATTTTCAATGAGATATAGGTCATCACGCTTAAAGTAAATATCTATAATAGTTTACACGCCTACATTTACCAAAAATATAAATAAAAAGTTAGTTAAAGTCTCTATCGGTCTGTGCATTAGCTAGTTGTGATAATTCAGAAAAATATATGCAATGAATTGAGATAAATCTTGTAGAGTAATTTTCTGGTTGTCCTTAGAATAAATCTTATTTATTTTTGTTATCACACTCATAATCTTTCAAAAAATATTCATATATGTTGATTGATTTTTTTTATTCAAGTTTATTTTATACAATTGGTAATTAATATTTTTCAGTCTTCTTCTGATGACAGAGTATTCTACCCGATTTCTTTGTTCTCTAACTTCAATTCATTCTGTATCTCCACCATTTCCCACTAAAAAATAGTAGAAGGGCTCGTCTACTGATGTGTATTCTCCAACTTCAATTCCTAGAATTTAAAATCCCTTTCAGTAGAAGTTGATAAGACTCCACTATACATGTACCATTAGCCACTTTCATCGTTTTCTTACATTTACTGTATTATATCATTTATACCCTCAAGAAGTGCCTTAGAAAAAATAAAAATTACACAAACAATATTCAATACTGATTGCTGATGATGTGAAAATTCAATTTTTTTAATTGATCTTTTTAGTTGTATCGATTTGAGTTTTTTCTTTTTAATAATATTTCTTTTAATCTAAATAAAATAAACGATGAGGCACTTTTGCATCCTCCCAACTTTTTAAAAAATTAATTTGCGCCTATTCAACAAAAATAAATTAAAAGAAAGTATACATAACTATGTGAGCAACTTTTGCTGATACGATGATCTAAAATTAATTAGAGCTAACTCTTGTTTTTTATTTTATTTATTTATTTATGTATTTTTTTTCCACGAAATCGTTGATGATTAATAAATTATAACACGGTATTAAAAATATAAAATATAATGCTCAAAATATTAATGAAAACTTAATAAGGAAAATATGAATTTTACAGTATTTTTTGTTTTTTCAAAAATTGCAAATTTATCGCTATCCTTAAGATACTCTAATTCGAAGATATAAAATAAAAAGATCATTTATTTTCTTTCTGCTTTCTTTCTGGATAATTTCCATTATTTTTTTTTTTCCTCTACTTTTTTTTCTCTAAAGAGGAACTTCAAACGTCGACAAGACTCAGCGACCGGTAGGTTGACTGAGCTTGAAAAAAGATTAGATTAACGTATCCAGGACGACGCTGAGTCGTGCATGCAAAACGAGATTGAATACATGCAAAATTCTGTAATAGAAGGAAGTCAAGACAGGAATGGAGATTAAATTAATTTAATTTTTGGTGTACCATATACATAAAAATTATGTAAACAGTTCTTTGAAAGTTTTTAGAAATAACTGATTACATTTTTCGATTAACTGATATTATTTTATATAAAAATATTTTAATTGACCATTCTTAATATTATACAACGAAATAGTTTTCAATATCCTCTTATACATTTTTTGATTGGTTTTTTTCTTTTTCAGAAAATAATTAATGAATTTAAGTACTTTTATATACTTACTAAAAGTCCTTTCACTAAAAAAAGATTCTTTGAGCTTTTCAAACTAAAAAACGTTTAAGCTTTAAGTTCTGACTTGCAAACATCAACCATATTAAAAATACTTACCTTTCAAATAAACTTTATTTTTACTTTTATAATACTTATTGATACACGCAAAAAAAAAAAATTGGGGCTGCCACATGATACATTCCTGTGGCAGCCACATGATTTTTTCATGTGGCTGCCACATGATTTTCATGTGACTGCCACATGATTTTCCTGTGGCAACCATATGATTTTTTCATGTGGCTGCCACATGATTTTCATGTGAATGCCACATGATTTTCCTGTGGCAGCCCCATGATTTTTTCATGTGGCTGCAACATGATTTTCATGTGACTGCCACATGATTTTCCTGTGGCAGCCACATGATTTTTTCCATATAGCTGCCACATGATTTTCCTGTGACAGCAGCATGACTTTTATGAGGCAGGCAATAATATTTAAAACAGCAATAATAATTATCATAATAATAATAATAATAATAATCTATATTATTAAGAGAATAAGAAAAATTTTGTGGCCAGTGCATTTATATGATAAAATGGGTTTTTATGGTTGAGTTTGGTATCATTAGAAAGGTCTTGACCTGGAGTTGTGCCTTTTCAAGGTTTCATATCATTCTCATCAATAGTTAATAGTGTTTATTATGATAGGAATTAAGGCTGCATTCGAAAATGCTCTAGATACATAATCAAAAAATTAGCTCGTATCCGGTGAACTATTGCCATTTTTAAAGATACAAGCTCACTCAGATATTCCACTTATCGAGACCTTTCATTTGAATACCCACATCAACTTTTCATATATTTATATATATTATATAAATGTATATGTGAAAAATATATCAAAAATGCATGTGGGTACTCAAATGAAAGGTCTCGATAAGTGAAATGTTTTAGTGAGCTTGTATCATTAAAAATGGCAATAGTTCACCAGATACGAGGTAATTTCTTGATTATGTATCTAGAGATAGAGCATTTTCGAATGCAGCCTTAATTCCTATCATAATAAAAACTGTTGACTATTGGTGAGAATGATATGAAACCTTAAAAAGGCACAACTCCAGGTCAAGACCTTTCTAATGATACCAAACTCAACCACAAAAACCCATTTTATCATATAAATACACTGACCACAAAATTTTGGTTATTCTCTTAATAATATAAATTACAGTGCGAGGTAAATTAGTCTCTGTGATTGATTAAAAATTATTTATTTAACATTGTTTCGGATATAAATAATAAAATAGTTATATTATTGGAATTTGTGGCTATATATATATATATATATATAGATAGATTTTATATTTATTATTATCTATTAATATCACGAATTTTCCTGGACCGGTATTGATGGAGACACATGAGGCTGTTCAATTGTCGATTCATCACCAGCACTTTGATCAATATTCTCAGTAGTAACTGGGAATATTTTTTCACCGGGAATATTATCGACTTTAACGTCAGTTGGATTTTGTTCACATACTGTGGATTTAACGTCTGGACTGGAGACTCTTTTGAGAGCTAAATATTCTTCAACTGATCCTGTCGGTTTACTATTATCCGGCTCAATAGGTTTTTCAACGGCGTTAGATTTTATAACAGACTCTTTGCTAGCAGAGTTCCCGTTATTATTACTATTATTATTAAGTTTCGACAGCTTTTGTCTCTCGCGCAAACGTTTTCTTATTTCCGATTGAATTTTCGATTCCTTTATAACGCTTTGTACATTATCTGTCTGATAATAACGAGTTGCCCAAGTTTCACTCGAATCAAGTGATGAACTTTCAGTCGAGTTGCTTTCGACAGTAAATTTTACCTCAACTTTACTCGGATTGTTTTTGACAGACGATTCAATTATTTTATCATTTTCTATTTCGTCCATATCATCTGAGTAATTATCCAAATCTATTATTTCATCTTCGTCGTGCAAGATTATTGAGTTACTACTACTTTCTTCCAATACTTTTGATGGTTCATTAATTTTTTTTGACTTTTCTTTATATAACTCACTTGACTTATCACTTGGCACTTTAGTTATTGCCGAGTCTTGAGATTTGTCCTTCGATTCGCTATTAGTACCACCCGAAGATTTATTGTTAACATCATTAGCTTGATTAATTTTATTAATATTTAAAGAGTCTGACAATTTATCCTGATTTTCTTTATTATTTTTATCTGTTAAAGAACATTCAGTACTCGTCTCTATTTTTTCGCCATTAGATTTACTAATATTGACGTTAGAGTCCTCAGCTTCGCTGTCACTAGACAGTAAATTTATCGTCGGCGTTGGTTTGACAACTAAAACCACATCTTCGTCTTCATTTGAATTCAACGAGAGAGAAACAGCTTCTTCAACTTTGCTCCTAGCGCTGCTTTTATCCGCTTCCTTGGTTGAATTATTTCCCAAACCGACGGCCAATGAAATATTGGCTTGATCTAGTAAACTATTAACATTAACAGATATTTTAGAAGTTGTTGATTCATTAGGAATTATATCTTCCTCCTTCCTTATTAAAGCCCTAATAGCCCGCGCCCGCATCTCCAATTCCAGTAAATCAAGAAGACTCTCACCTTGTTGTGGCTGGCTTTTCGACTCCTTTTCATTTTTAACTTTAACTAAATCTGCTGTTTGCTTACGGGCGGACTTATTTTTATTTTGAGAATTTGTCTTAGCTTGTTTGTCGGAAGCTGTGGGCTCTTTTTTTATTTTTTTCGTTTTTACCTTACGGCTTTTAGACGCCGAGACCTTGTCCTTATCATCTGGCAGCTCACTGTCAGTTATCCAAGCCTCAGTGTCGGAAATTATTTCTAACGAAGGTCCTGAATCATCTGACTCACTTGTATTGGAAGAATCTAACATCTGCTTGCCATTTAATATTGACAGGACTCTAGACTTTGACATTCCGCATAATTCATTCACACACAATTCTTCTAGCTCACTTAAATCTGTTTTCTGCAATCAATAAATTTATTTTTATTAATTAACTTTAAATAATTAATTTTAATTATCATAATAAATAATATTAAAGTTAACCGACATTGTTAATTTTTTTTTTAATTGTTAAATTAGAACTAAATAATATTTTTAAAAAATTGCACTTATAGTTTTTTAAAAATGAATTTTTTTTTTTAATAATTTTTTCAATAAAAAAAAAATTCTAAAAATTTTTAGATGTCGGCTAACTTAATTTTCATCATAATAATTATATTTTTACATGACATTAAAGTTAGGTAGCAATCACTTGATCATTTTTAAATTTATTTAACAAACAAATTTATTCTGAATAATAATTTTTTTAAATTTCTACATGTCATTTTTTTTTGGAGTAATTTATTTATTAAAAAATTATCAAATATCTGCTACTTTAATTTTCATTATTTTTACCTTCAATGTTTGCGGTAACATCATTTTTATTTTTTCAGTCTTTACTGACATAAATAATTGCCGTGACATTTCTTTCCGATTGTATAAATAATCTTTGATCGGCTTTAGCGGTTTGTCATCAGTCTCGTCCTCGGAAAAAGAGGACGTGCTGCAAGAACTGCTTGATGAGTCATGAAATGTATGTGGCATCAAACTATTTGTAACGTGATTGATTGAATATATCATAAGCATGAAAATATATGCAAACTCTATAGTCAAGGCGCGCGCTTGCGCGCGTAAATTCAAATTCTAGTACACTTAAAAAACGCGATGAGATCAAGCCTTAAATTTCCCTGGATGAATTTGCATATTACATTACACTATATCTTGACGCAAACGCTATTACATTAAGATTCTATCGACGTTCGCGTTGCCGCTAGGTTTACATTGTAATTCCTATTCAACCGATATTTATCAAGACGTATATTTATGTTAATGGTGTTTCCGTACGTGAAAATGGTCTATGAATTTCCTTAAAATGTTTTCAATCGTTATTTTACCTGATCAGATTCAGATATAAACGTAATTAATTTAAATAATAACTCTCATGTGAATTGTAAAAATCTAAATCTAATAAAATATTTAAAATTCAAATGTTTCAGACATAAACGGATCAAAATGTCCAGAAGATAGTGTTTCAAGTGAAGACGGTATATGTAAATGTGTATCACCATGTCCACCGCACAAATGTGAACGAGGTGAAAGACCGGTTCAAGTGAGACCAGCTTCAGAAACCCCAGGAAGGTGCTGTGCTTTATACGACTGCGTTCCTTCAGGTAATTACTAAAGTCATACAGTTTAACCACAGAAACTGATTACTCCTCTGAGCACACTTTTAGATACGTGATATCTCTTACTGCCACAGGCAATTAACAGTGACTAGAACTAAATACTTATATATACCAGGAATGCAGCAACATCATGCTTCCAGTTCAAAACTAATTTATAATTAAAAAGTTTAACTCAACTTCAATGGCTCTGAAATATATATTATACTTGGATTAAATACAAATATTAATTATACTTGTTTAATATTTCTAGAACCGATATCCTATGTCGGTGGAGACGATGGACTTCCCAAAGACTGCACAGATTCTGGAGTACGCCATGCCATCGGTGAACACTGGCAACAAGGTCCTTGTGTCAACTGCACGTGCGAAGAAATCAATCAGATGGGAAGTGTCTCTTGTCATTCAACTATGTGCAAAAGTTGTGAAAGTGCTGCGCCTTTGGTAGAAGGAGAATGTTGCCCACATTGTCTTGAACATACCAATGAGACACAAATCTTCACAACCACCCCCAATCTATCCGATAAGACTTGTGATTCTCTGGAGCCCTGTGAGCCGCCTTGTCATCTCCGGGCTGCTGACAACTTTGACAGTTGTCCTACTTGTGAATGTTCAACTGACGAGGTACCGTACTGATTAATTAACTCTCTACCCGGTTAATCTTACTTAGTTACTTCCTCTGCTATTATTTATAATCTTTTTTTTTTTCATCCGCTTTTACTGTCAACTGTCAACTGCGCTGAAGATTAATCAAGATAATTTTTTTTCTATTGCAACGATAAATTATTTAAAAATAATATTATATTTTTTTTCATCTATCAACCAGCAATGATTTATTAATAATTAAAGGGTAGGGGGTAGTTGACTAAGTCTTATAAGAATCTTACCACAACTTGGAGGAAAGATTATAAGATTAAATATTATTTTTCAATTATAATTAACATTGTCTCGTTTAATTGAAACTGCTGTTATTTTCAATAACTTTTTTAATTTTTATTTTTAATAATTCATCTCAACAATTGAAAAAAAAAAAAAAAAAAAAAAATTACAAATAAATCAGTAGAATCCCGGATACTTAGAAAATTTTTTATGTCAAAAAACAACTAAACCATCATTGATTTCCGACATTTCGTCTCTATTTATTGAGAGTTCATCAAACACTTAAAATAAATACGAAAATGATAAGTAAATAAACTTTGTAGTTATCGCAACCAACATCAATAACTAACCTTTCTAGTAATTATAATAAATTAAGCAGGAATGATTAATAAATAATAAGTAGTTTATAATTTTTTTACAGCTGGATGATTTATTACTGTTTTTCAAAGAAATATGAACGTTAATATTCAGTATTGAATGCGTTGAGAGTAGTTATTGATGTTTATCGTACTTCGTAACAACTATAACATGTAGGTTTCTATTCATATAGGCTTTTGAAAAAGACATTTTACCCATTTAATCCCGAATTAGCTATTTTTTAATTTTTGAAACTCTATAGTTTGGTAAAAAATCGACGAAATCACATTTTTTTCGTTTTTGAATGCAGTTTTGGAAAAAAAAAAAAAAATAAAAAAAATTATTCACAGCTTCCTTCTATTTTTTGAAATAATTTTTCGAAAAAAAATCAAATTTGAAAGAATTCTGAAAAACATTTTTTATAGAGTTGGGAAAGATTAAAAAATTTCAGCCAAATCAAAAGGAGTCGGAGTCAAAATAGATCGATTTGGTGCGAAATGCCCTATATATTTATTTCCTTTAAATTATTTAAAGACTGCCAAGTGCCAATGATTCAATCAATTTTTAATTGATTTGATATATACTTGGATGTGAATCAAAAAAATATATAAAATTTAGATTAATGACATTTTATAGAATTAATTAATTGTAGGTATGTTCCTTCATATTAAATCATTTCATTAAATACTATAATTGATTCTTATAAAAAAAAAAAAGAAATATTTTTCATTCATATCAATAATAATAATAAGGGTCAATAATTTTATTTTTTATGGAAACTTATTACTAAAAAAGAGTTGTAGTAGCCTTAAAAAACGCTTTACATAATTTATGGATTTCTCCCTGCATGAATTTAAAACTATCATTTATTCTTACTCAAATGGATAGAGTAATTTCATTATTAAAATTATTAATTCAGAAAATCTCCAACCTAGAAAAGCTTTAAAGTATTAATTCTTCAATTTTCTCTTCTAAAATTTTTAAAACTCAAAATAAATCATATGTAATTCTATATTTTCAAAAATAAGCATTTAAATTATGTCACGAAATAAAATTTTCATTAAAAACTTAATCTCCATTAAAATTTAAAAGCTATAAATTATTCACTTATCAGTTTGTTAACAACTTCACAATGTTTGTAAATTAGTGGTAAACGCCAAATAATATTGAAGTTATAAATAAATTTGCCCGTGGAACGTTCTATTAATTTTCGTATTTCATTAATCCCATACAACAAAGTTGAAAGCGAATATCAAAGAATAAAAATAAAAATGAACACTTTAATTTGATTTTAAACTACTATAAGTTATTACTCATCCACTTCTCATATTCTCATCTCTCCAATTTTCCGCTCATATTGCAGAACCAGCAGTTCTCTTGCTATTTTCTTTAGTTGAGTTTTACTTGCAATTTTCTGATTCATCTGTATTTCACGGTGTAATGTACGCTCGGTCAGACACGTTTCTAATATATATTTCTCAACTCATCGAGTAGAGGTGAAAAACGGAAGGACAAAGAACGAACATATATATGTATATACATAATATATAAATAGTAGCTACAATAGTGACTAAAAATAAAACAAAATTAAATAAAGTAGAATAAAATAAAGTAAATGAAAAAAAATTTAGATAAAAAACTACAACACAGTAAAATACCTTTTTCATGGTTCTATTTGCAGAATACAGCGAGCCCAGATCCAACGGACAAAATTTGCCCCGAGCTACCGCACTGTGGTCTCCATTGTGTGCTTGTGAAGGACCAGGGAGGTTGTCCTGTTTGCGCTTGTGAGAGCAATCCCGAACATGACGCTACTGTTATCCCAGTAAACGCTCCTGGAACTCTAGTTGAGAAGGACGACTCGGGAATCATCTGTCCGCAGCTCAAATGCGATTTGCACTGTGAGCATGGTCTTGTCATGGATGAAAACGATTGTACACTCTGCCAATGCAAACCTCAGGCCATTGGTTGTCCACCGCTTATTGAATGCAAGAAGAAATGTTCCTATGGATATAAACTCAATAGACGTGGTTGTCCGGTACTATTTAAACTTTAGTATTATTATCATTTTTATTATATAAGTTATCTGTCTTTTGTTATTTAAAATTATTTACTATTTTATATTTTTTAAAGATATGCCGTTGCCGTGCCGTTTGTGTAGACCGAAAAAATCGTACACATTCGGAAGGTTCATCTTGGAATCTTGATGCTTGTACGTCTTGTACATGCGATCTCGCTGGTAGACTAAGCTGCAAAGAAACAGTGTGTTCTGTCGCGTGTTCAAATCCTCTGCCACCATCACAAGACACCTGTTGCCCAGTTTGTCCTATCAATCAGGTGAATTTTTTTCTGAAACTTTAATTAAATTAGTACGCTGCCGTGCTAAGTATAGAGGTGGTGAAATGTTTAATTCAAATTCTTTAATAACGTACGTAGAAAAAAAACTACTCTATTCTAAGAAATATTTTCTTTTTAATTTCACTTCCCTGATAAGAACAAAGAATGCAATACTTTTTACTTCGTTTTTTTTTTTTTTTTTTTTTTTTTTTTTTATCAGGGTTTTGATTCAAGATATTCAATTTTGGAGAAACTAGAACAATCTTGGAAAAATATGAAGTTCTTATAAGAAAATGATTATTAGTTGAACGATGAAGTTATTTTTGGATAGAAAATTTGATTGTATTAATTGAAGATTATTTACACTGATAAAAAAATTAACGAGATTCAAGACAAAAATTCTTAAACTGAGAAGATGATTTTGAAAAATTTCATGCTCTTGAGTCAAGCAGAAAAATACATGAACCAAGAAAAATTTCTTACTTCAAGAAAATTTCTCTTTGATTTGAGACTATGAATCTCTTCAAAATTATGTTCTCGGCTCAAGATTTTTTTTCTTAAGTCAAGTTAATTTTTTTATCAGTGTATTCTTAAATCAAGTCCCAGTAGTTATCGATCGAAGTTATTGGCTTCTTAAGCCAAAATAATAAGATTCAATACGAAAAATTTTTCAAGTATGAGAACTTATTTAATTAATGTAATCATTTAAATTAAAAATTTTTACGATGTTAAAAGTGGATACAATTTTTTATTTCTCTGATTTAAATCAAATTTGTAATGTTTTTGTCGACGAACGTGATTTTTAATATCAGTGAAATTTAAAAATAAAAAATTTTTAATATCCCAGAGTGGTCAAAACACAAGTACCTAACCACTTTTATGCCTAGCACAGCAGTACTGTATTATTAAAATCTATTTAAATGCATTTATCAATATTTAAAAACTTTTCCAGGATGCTAACAATAAAAATGAGACTCATCAAGGCACTAGAGTAGGCTGGGGAATAGTGCCCATTACTTTGATAGCTGTTCTAACATTTCTCTGCGCAATTCTCATGATCTTCTTGGTAAGAGGACGATTTCGTGGTCGACTTTCTCCTTCAACAAATCTTTATACTTCATACCCGGCTCAGTACTATAAATGTGTGCCGGCTTACGAAACTCCGATACATCAGAATGAAAAAGTTGTACCTTTGTAAGCAATTTTAATACCAAGATGGTGGATTTAAATAACTTGTTAGTGATTAATATTATTCTATATATATATATTACATAATGTGAATTTTATGTATCTAATCAAAATCATTGACAATTTACTAAATCCATTACACAAACGAACAATTAATATATATTAAAACATAAATATATATATATTTATTATGTGATGAGAAAATTGATAAAAAATTATTAAATATAAGTAAGTTAATTTTCTTATCGCATGGCTTTATATGCGACAACCTTTCCTTGATAAAATTTTTGCTAATTTAATAGTGATAATAAATGTGAATGGTAGAGACTTTGAGAATGATAGAAATAGATAATTTTTTGATCTCCGGACTACTGTAACTTTCTATAAATAAATATAAGGAAGTTAATAGAGTATAAACTCAATGGAGTGGATCAAGTATTAAGTTCGCCATGTTTGGAACGTGATAGTTTAACAACTTCTTATTATTAATAACAGTTAAGACTTTGTCAGTAGGCTCCATGTATGTATATGTATATGATTAAGTTGACTATCGATAGCTGTGTTATTAGACTGTTCTCATATTAGTAATATTATTTTTTCTGTTTTGTTTATTTAAATAAATTAATTAATACTTAATTTTAACAAACCGTAGTAGAGTATTTATAATCTTAAACCTTGTTGTTATCTATTGGAAAATTAATGCACTTTTTCATTTAATTAATCAGTTATTATTTTTATTACAATGTTATTATTATTATTATTATTATTATTATTAATTGTATTATTATGATTATTGTATATATTTATTCTATTAAATGTTAATCGTAACTTATCTAAGCTAATATTCAATGTCTCATGATGGACACACATTTATAAAGAAACTATTTTATATGTAAATTGAGAAATTTTTTAAATTAACCATGAAAATAATAATATAATTTTATTTATAAATTATTTTTCTTTTTTTTTTTTATTTCCATTATATTTATATGTTATATACATATAATTTAATAAGTATATATCCCGAAATTTTGGAAGTATAACTGTACTCAAGTGAAAGAAGTCGGAAGAAGATAATTTTCGGTATCGAGACGTGAAAAAAAATAAATAAATAAAATTGAGCTAAATACTTCTGCTATTTACACATACATATCCATGTACCTACATACGCCCTTAGATTATTATCTTTTTAAAATTGATATATATTTTTTCAATGTAATCGTCAAAAAATTTCTAATCACTTGAAACATTTTTGTGTATTAAAATTACATTAAAATAACCATTGTAAACTTATATAACAATATTATTATACATAGTAATATTTGTAAACAATATATAAATATATAACAGTATACAGTGACTAAGTGAGTGAATGAATGGTTTAATCAGTGAAAATTTAATTCAATTATAATGGTTATTTTTTAATCGTCAATTGATATATTTAAAATTTTAATTGGTTGAAATTCATAACAAATTAATAAACTGAAAAGATTGCACCATTTTAAAAGCGTGCTCATTATATATACATGACATAAATTGCCATTGGTATTTTATCGCATATTTTATCTACAAAATAATGTTTGTTCATTGGCCGGATTCATTCTCTGACTTGATCACTTGGATCACTTTTTATTGATTGTCAATAAAGTATAAAATTAAATTTCATAAGTGTACCATGAAGACAATATTTATAAAATGACGGTAAATTAAAACAAGTGCTAATAACATCGTTTTTGATCAGAAATTTTTTTGTAATAAAATACTACTATTGATCGATAGATTATTTATTACAACAATATATCTTTTAAAAATAATAATGGTATATGCTTAACAATTCAGCTGAGCAATAAAAATACATATGTTTAATTATGGAATAGAAGTTTATAAATTATGAAAGATAATTAGACAATAGTTGGTATTTTATTTAAAATATATTTGAAAAATTAAAAAATAATGTCTGGAATAAAAATTGAGAAAATTTTTTTAATTATTCTGCAATATGAATATTATCAAAATCATATCAATGTAACGTATCCATAATAGTTTTAAAAATCCGTTAAGAAATGATTCTTGTATGTTTAACAGAAAACGACTAAATAAATTGTTAATACACAAACAAATATAAACGATTTCGTTTACTTATTTCTCACGTTCCTTAATCTATTACAATTTTATTAAAATTAAAATACACGAAAAAAAAAAAACACCAATTGAAAAGTTACAATTTATGTAGTAATGAAAGGAGCTCTGAGTAAAAAATTGAAAAAGTCATAAATAATAATTTAAAAAAATTAATCTTGATAGTTTCAAATGTAAATATAATTTTACAGTTTTAAAATGTAATTCTTGCAGTTTTAAAAATTTTGCTATAATGAAATTTCGTTCAATTTTTTTTTTTTAGTTAATTTTTTACTATTATTTAATAATATAGAATTATAACTGAGGTGTCGCTCGGGTTTTTCTTTTAACTTTAAACAAAACCAAAATTAAAAAATATAAAAAAAAAACACCAACTCAACATCATTGTTGACTTATTAAGCTTTCTTTTACATTAGATTGTTTCAAGCGTGAACTTATACTACCAGTCATTTCTTGATAAAAAGTTGACGTCAAGGATTAAAACTTGCTATAAAGTTGACGTAAAATTCGTAACAACTTTGAGTTTCGAGCAATTACTTATCACTGGGACTTAACTTTTAGTAAAGATTGCGGTAAATCTATTATACCCCAAGTTAAAATGAAGTAGCAGAGAAATACTTATTTCAACAACTTAACTAATAAATTGATAAACAAAAAGTTTCTTACAATTGTGAACAATAAGTCAACGTAATTTTCATGCATTCCCGAGTCGGAAAAATGAACTTAGATGAGCTTAAATCAAATTTTTTAGATTGTTATAACAATTTAATTGTAAAGAAAAAAATTTAGCGAAAAAATTTCACATGTAGAAATTTAAAAAAAATTATAAGTGTCAATTTTAAAAAATATTCTTTTTATAATAATTGATTTGTTATAAAAATTCGAACAATTGTCAGATGTCGGGTAATTTCAGTATCATTTAAATCAATTAATTTCTCAGAGCAGTTATATATATATAAAGGTTCATTTAAGTGAATTTTTTCAACTCGCGTCACATTCTCTCGTGAACTTTTATGTGACTCTTATTTATTTACCAAATTTTTTAGACCCTGAAGCCTTAGCTCCCTAAGGGCCTTACATAGAAATATATACATAGTAATAATAAAATTAGTTAAACAGTAATGGATATAAAATAATAAGATTTTACCGTTTCCGATAGTCTACAATGGAGTTCTTTCTATTAAATCATCGAAGAACTCGAAGAAATACCCATTTCTGCTATAAAAAGTTTCTTTTTTATCTACTGTATAGAATATAGTTATTAGTTCGCAACCATCAACGAAATACTACAACTTACCCCAATAACCACTGATAGCAAATTGACATCTATCTGTTGATACAGTTTGTTGTCAATTCGAGGAGCAGATTGGTGACACTGATTGCAAAAGTTGGAACGCAAAATTGCGCTTCATTTGCTTGCAAACAGGAACTATAAAATTTCATATTTTATGAATGGAAAATGGAAAAATGGGCAAGTCAGTGAGGCTAACCCAGAATGCCAAACACTGATGATTATTTGGATGCAAACTGACAGTAGATTCTAGCTTTCCAACTTCTGTCTAGTCAGTTTGTCTGAAATTTGTGCCTCACACTGACACCAAACTGCGTTTGTAGTCAACTTGACGACTAATTGACATCAATCATTGAATAGAAATTTTTTCACTTTTTCACTGCAACTTTGGTTATTGGGGCGATAATATCGCGAAGAAAACTCAAAATCGGATTTATATTATTAGCAGCAAATTATTTTTTATCGGCACGAATAATTCCATAAACTTTCGGCTCTTTATCGGTTATCTTCAACTGAAAGTTGAGCTAAATTCACTCCTTCCTAAGCTCTGCTAAACTCAGAAAGTAGTCAAAAATTTGTCTTCAATAAATCAAAATCAAAACGTACCCTGAGTAGAAAAAAAAAGATTCAAAGTGAGTCAAACGATTTAAAAAGATTTGTTTTGAAAAATATATAGATATACATTTTGCATTGAAATAATATTTTCAAATCCCTTATCCTAATTAGAGTAATTGACAAATTGATGAAGTAATTTATAAAAGAGAATTTACAAACTTACATAAAATTGAGATTAATTTGATAATACTGAAGTTAGCTGACAGCTGTCAATTTTTTAAATTCTTATAACAAATTAATTACAACACTAAAAGTGCTTCTAAAACTTTTCACTGATCATTTTCTTCAATTTTTACATATGGAATTATTTGATTAAATTTTTTTCATAGCAATTTAATTGTTATAAAATTCTAAAAAAATTTCTAATGTCTGTCAACTTCAGTGTTATTTAATTTGAGCTTAATAAATTAATCTATCTTGGCTCCGTCTTCTAATTTTTCTATTTTCTTCAATTGTATAAACATTTAGTGATAGTTTGTACTTGACGTCAAATTTTACTTAGAATTCTATGTCAAGTTGAAATAAATTACTATTTAAATAAATATATATGAAAACTATTTAAAATTGACATTCAAATAATATCACTCTATAACTTATCTTCGTAATTAATAGTCTTAAATACCAATATAATGTAATGTAATATTATTTATTAAAATGACGTTAACGTAGCTTATCATGTTTATCAAAGACTCTTTAAAAAAATTGTGTAAAATTGAAATTAAAATATTAAAGTTTTCACTTCACAAAGCCAGAATTCAACAATGAAGTGCATACACTGAAAGTAAGATAAATTAATTATCATTGAATATGTCAATTGGTTAAGCACTATTTATTAGAAACCAAAGTATGATAGTACATAGTAAATTTATTATATACATTACTTACACAATCTAATAACATTTATATATAAGATCGAGCTATATTTACAATATTATAACTAAAAACTGAAATTATTTAAATAAAATATAAACTTTATATTTTTTGCATTCTGTAATTACATAGTAAAAATGTCTTTACATATGTTTTTAGCTTACAGATTAATACTTTTGTATCATTCTTGTAACTAATAATTTAGTTTATTACACACAAATTCTATATTGATGTATGTAAGTAAAACTAGTTCCTTGGAATTATAATCTTTTGAAGTTTAAAAATTCCACTATCTGATGAAAACAAGAAAATTATTAATTGTAACAAATAATTGTTTTTCAAATACGAGCATTTGTAAAATAAAATTTCTTTAAATAAAATCAGATTATATTATATCTAAAGCTTAATGGAATCTTTGAGATTTCCGTCAATAAGCAAAGATTCTTTGAATGATTTTATACATTCTTTGTATAAATATCAAAGACATTATTTTCTAAGCGAACGCATGAGCGCGAGCTAAAATATCATCGCATGAACTTTGGCTATGGTGAAATTGATTATCGCGGTTATTTCCATATTCCATGGGTCACATAGAATGTTGAGTAGGAGGAAGCATAATTTCATAACCCGATGGTATATCTTGTTGATGATGATGGTGATGGTGATGGTGGTGATGATGACCACCCGCCACCGCTTGATGATGGTTTTGTTGATAATACTGATGATGCATACTTGAATGGGATGAATAATAAATTGAACTTTGTTCCACATCTTTGCCTACAAAAAATAAACCATCTTTACGACCATTTTGCAAACATGAAAATTTAGTTTTATTTTCGGTTTATATTAATTTTTGTATCGTCATTTCAAGTCAATATAATTATTTGATTTATGTATTCATCAAATCTTATAAAAAATATTTCAATTTTTTCGATAATAAGTTTTATAATGTTAATTTTTATGATCGAGGAATATTCTAAAAGTAATTGGAGTAGTAAAAAAAATTTATTATAATGTTGAATGAAATTTTATTTAGGTGATGTGAATTTTTTTTATGGCAGTAAAATAAACTGCTACTTAGGATGATAAAATTACTATTTGCCATTGTAATTGGACCTTTTAAAGAGGCTGTGCTTCACTTTCACATCATAAAATCCATGTAATATAATGAGAAACGCTCATCTTAAACCGTTTCTACTATTGTAATAATTCACTAGAATGATATAAATAAATTTACCATTATAAAGATAATATTTCAACTCACAAGCTTAATAGCAGTTCTAATTTATTAATCGAGATGGTTTTGGAAAAAAATAATAGTTTGAAAGTATTCCAGCGTACTTATATCCATATTAACCCCCTTCGTTGATCTCGCGATTAGCGAATTGCTAGTTAACAACCACATAACCTGTAGGAAGCTACTATAGTGTGAGTGAGAAACTAAAAAGACGTGACCAATGAAAGATTAAGGGTGTCGTAAAAAAAACCGAATATTTATAGACAGAAATTTTCTTGTATAACTGTACAAATAATTTTCACTATTGAATTAATAAATCTTTAGCCTTTCAGCTCATGCACTATGTAAATAAACTTATTTTTCATTTGCATAATTAATGCAGTGTACTCTCAATAACTCGAACTTCAAGGGAAGTGATAAAAACTTCGAGTTAACGAGTTTTCGACTTAACAAGATGTTCGAAATTTGCAAGTAGACCAAAAATTAAGAAAACACTTGATTTCTGTTATATGAAACATACATATTTATTTTAAAAAATTATCAATTAATAAGGTAAAAAATATTACAGAAAGTCTGTTATTTAAAGATTTGATTGCTATAAGCTTGGACAGTTCGGAGAAAAACGTCTTTATATTTTACTAACTTCGACTTATAGAGTTTCACTTTAAAAATTCGAGATTTTTATAGAGTATAAATATCCCTTATCAATACTGGAAGGGAAACGATACTAAGTTCAAATTACAGAGTCTAAATAATTCGAGATATCGCGGATTTAAGAGTTCAGCGGTATTTAAGATTTCGACTTAACAAGGTTTGATTTACCGAGAATCCACTGTATTATGATTTTACCTAATTATCACGAATATCATTTATCCTATTATCCCATATGATCAATCGTTTGTATTAATAAAATTGTAAACATAATGTATTCGTAAACATAATGTATTGTAAACGTAATGTATTCGATACTGATACAGTGCAAGTAACTAATTAAATTAGTTTTTATTTTTGTTTACTTGACATGTAACCATTACTTTTTTCGAGTTAAATATTTATTTTGAGTACATTTAATGAAACGTAAGACATTTTCTTATTGTACGGCTCTTAATTAACATTTTTTTTTTTTTTTCTAGAGTTGAAGAGTTAATGACAAAAAACATATTTTACTTAATTATTTCTGTTTAAAATTCTTCATGAACTATCTCATAATATTTAGAAGAAAAATAGTTTCATAACTGAAAACGTTTATAATATCGCTCCGATAATACACAGGTTGTGTTAACGGAGTGATACATAAAGCTGTTAAAACCCATTTGGATTCTTTTATTCTAATTAACTTTTAAATATAGCTAAACGCGTACTATGGCAGTCAGAAAATCAAATCGTGTTGATTATGAAAACTTTATAGTCGGTAGTCTCTATAGTGTTGATGAAAAAAATTTTTTTTTAAGTAAGCACATATACTTTTTGTCATACACTGATCAAAAATTAACTTGACTCAAGACTAAAAATCTTGAACTAAAATAATCATTTGAAGAATTTTTTTGTCTTGAAGTAAGCAAAAAAGTATTTCAGCCAATTAAAATTTACTTGAAGCAAGAAAATTTTCTTAGTTCAATAACTTCTGCTTAATTCAAGATAAATAATTGAATTCTTCAAAATAATTTTCTTGTTAAGCGAGTTTTTCTCTTGAATTGAGTTGATTTTCTCATATTATCAATGTACTAAAAACTTAAAACATATTATTGAACTGTGTTGAAATCAATTTAATCATAATGTTGCTAATAAATCTGAATTTTCACTATTAGTTTCTAAAAGCAGTAAAAAATTTTTTATGGTTATTTTGATATAATAAATAAATAATTTTACCATTATCATATGCACCTCGTCCATAAGACAACGTTTTAACATCACTCATTGGACTAAGCCCTCCATTGGAAGGATGAGCAGAATGAATTGACGATGGTGTAACTGGTGAACCATAACTATGATGATGCGGACCCATTGGACTTAGACCCATCGGACTGCAGGGATTCATTCCTACCGGTGACATACCCATTGTTGAAATAGGTGACATCGCTAAATTAGGACTACCAGATTCCAATGACTGAAGAGGTTGATGACCACCACCAACTGTATTACCGCTATTATTGCCACCGTTAATATTACCATTGTTACTCTGGCAATTAAGAGAAAGCATGTCTCTGTAATAAGAAAGAAATCAAGAAAATATTATTTAATTTTCGAAAAAGTTAAAGAGTATGAAAAACAAACATGTGTCTTTTTCAAGTCCGACAAAAGCACAATAAATATCCGTCGCACCATGACCAAATGGAAAACTTATGAAAATGTATCACATATGTGTCTTAACAAATGTTTTAGTTACTATTGTATGTAGTATTGCACAAGAAAAATGTGGTCCAGTACTACAGGAGTATCCCGCAGCGTGACAATTAACTTCTAGTCCCTATTACATTTTTACGCGTACGAAACTTTCTCATACACACGCGCACTCACATGAACATTCATATACCAGCATGTGTTTTGGAGTCTTCAACTAACCGTCGGCATTCTGAGAAGTCTTAACTCCTCGTACAATAAAATGAAACAAAGAAAAGTAAAAGTAAAAAAAAAAAATTGGTAAAAAGGTCCAGTAGTATAATATACCTTATTACTTTTTTTCATTATTATACATTTTTTCTTCATTTTTTCCCCTTAGTTAATTTGCGTTCAATTCATACCCACTCTTAAATAAAAATTAAGTTTTTTATTTTGAAAAAAAAAAATAATAACAGTTACAAAAATAATGTAAAAACAAGCTAATTCAATGATTTGAGATAAGCAAGTACAGATTAATATTTGCTAGATGTAAAAGTACATAGGATTATATTGTATACTGGGGTGAATTCACCCGAGACCGTGCGATTGGCTGATTTGAGATTCCCCAGAAGAATCTTTAAATGTTTAGTTTGTGCTCATTTAAAAATAATTCTGCCCTTAATTCTTTCTTGTCATACAGACCCTTTACAGTTATACATATGTAGGATACGAATACGCTTAAATTAAAGACTCGTCTGTGGCCCAGGGTTGGTCTTTATGCAGTAAACTATTGGTAGTGCGAACAGCTCAACAGTGAAACGAGATATGTAACCGAATCCACGCCATAAAACGGTAATGGGGCGTCGCATTTCCTTTTCCTAGGTCCTTCATGATGTCGAGGGGGTGGCTTTAACCAGGGTAAAAAATTTTCAAGATCAGAAATAATTTTTATCCGCCATGACTAATATTCTCCATAATAAAAAATTCATCAACGATTGTATGCTTATTTGTCTTCTTTCTTAAGTCACCCACAGCAGCAAGGTGAAATGGATTTTGTTCGGCAAAATATAGAGCCATGACCGCAAACCGTGTTGTAGACATAACAAAACACCATTAATTCTTTCATCCTCTGTATGCTTCTCTCTACACATACTCTAGATTATATATATATATATATATATATATATTTATATTCATTAAGATTTTGTAAATATATGGAGACTTGTAGTATGTATAAATGTGTAAATGAATGAAGAGTGTATGTATGTGATTGAAAATTGAAAATTATCAAGACAAAAGAACGTCGTCATCGTCGTAATTCTATAAGCATTTTTAACAGTTCCGGTGACTATTGTAAATGTTTATCGTGATGCGTAACCTAACTTTGTTTTATAAACAATTGACATGTACATGCGATAGATATTATCTAAGCGCGACAGCTTTTTTTTTTCTCATATTTCAAAGCAATTAATAAAAAACAAAACACCGTGATGTAGTTATCATCTAATGTAAACTCGATTACGACTTATTCTGATTAAAAAATTATCAATAAATTTCATTCATAAATATTTTATCATTGACATTGTTTTTTTTTTTTCTTTTAAGTTAAGTTAAACATAATAAATCTTTATAAAATTTTATATAAACAATTTTTGATTAAATTCAAAGGAAGTTATTAAAAAAATTTATACTTGGAATAAATAAAATAATTCATCTGATAAAAATAAGAAAACGTTTCTATATAATCTATTTAGTTGAAACCTTCACTTTCCACAGACAATAATCGAATTTAGGAACAAGAACACATGTTAAGACACTTGTTGCACCAAAGAAAATCTCCGAGGACCCCTGAGGATCAAACACGTGTCTATAACTTGACGAAAAAAAACTTAATTGAATAATAATAACTCAGTACATGCTAAAATTACTAGCATACTTCCTCTCTTTAAAATTTTTTTTCTATTATACTTGACCTACTTAAAATAATAATAATAATAATAATAATAATAACTATTATAATTAACTTTAACATATTATATGGGTTTGTAAAAAAACTTACGGTCGTGCTTGCGGCGTGCGATCACGTTGTCGACGATTTTTAAACCAATTAGACACTTGAGTGAGTGTAAGTCCCGTTTTCTTAGCAAGACTTTTTTTTTCATCTGGCGTCGGATACCTATTTCTGGTATAGCACTCTTTAAGTGCATTTCTTGAACGTTCTTTAAAACAATAGACAGTCTCTTCACCATCCCAAATTGTTTTAGGCAGCGGATATTTTTTTCTAAGACGATATTTGTCAACAGCGCCCAAAGCTCGGCCACGAATCTTCTCAGCCTCGCTGTAATGCGATTTGAACCACATTTGTTGAAGCTCCGGGTGCCGACGGGGTGAGAAAGGATGACTCTCAAGGATTGAATAGAGCTCATGAAAGGCGCACCGATGAAACGCCACTGCTGCACGAGCCATAAGTACACTTTCATCACCTCGAAGTAATTCACCCGGCGGCAAAGACCATAAAAATCTAGAAAAAATGTAAGACATTTTTATGATAATTTTTTATTTATAAGTAAAATTAAGTGACAGACGTCCGACAATTTTTCAAGAATATATAATTAATTCAATGATTACAAAAATAATAATATAAAGAAATCAACTTAGAAATTTGTAAAAAAAAAAATCTTGTGCAATTTTTTAGATTTTTTTCACAATCGATAAGCTTAAATTTATACAACGATTTTAAAATTTAGTTATCTACCAATTTCTCACTCATTATAGTTTACTCAACGTCTGTAAAGCTAGCATTGACTCGTCCAGTGGTAACCATCCGTATCTCGCTCATTATTCGTGTAGAAAAATTTATTTATGGTGTTAAATTTCTTGCTAATTAGTTGCTTTAATTAAAATTTTGTTACTTGATTAGATTCCGAAAAATCATTAATAATGTCGATCGATCAATGCTGGATTATATCAATGCTAAATTTACAAACGTGTTTACTTATTAGTTGCATATTTATATTTTTACTTCTTTTATCTATAAAAAAATATTTTAAATTAAAGTAATAATATATAGTTGTCAAATAACTATTCAAAGATAAATGCATAAAAATAAATTATTTAAGAAAAATAATCTTGAAATTGAACGTCAAAAAAGTGGATAGACCTAGAAAAAATTTTTTATAAATTATAATACTAAAATTAGCAAATACTCTTCAGATATTTGAAACAATTACGTGTATAGTTATTTAAAATGTTCAAGTATGGAAATTTTTCTTTATAATTTTTATTTATTCAAAAAAACCTAAAAATTATCAGATGTATGTTAATTTTATATATCATAAAAAGTTTACAATTATAATTGTACAACAATCTAAAACATTTCAAAAAAAGCATTTTTATAAGTTTCAGAGTACATTTGCCCATATAACTAATTCAGTAACGATATAAATTATTTAACTATAAAAATACTAAAATCAGTAGACATCTGATTCTTTGTTGGATTTGTTTAAAAATTAATTTATTTAAAAAAAAAAAAAAAAAAAGTATTATTAAAAAATTGCATTCATAGTTTTCAAAAATCTCCACATGTGGAATTTTTTCTTTTCAATTTACTTTATAAGAATTCACTTGTTAGATAAATTTTCAAATATCTGCTATTTCTACAGTGATACCTAAAAAACTACATCTCACCTTGTTAATTTTTCGATATCTTGGCTCTGTGATAAAGCTTCACACATACACGATATTTGTTCGGGAGTAAAATTAGTTGAATTACTACTGACTGATAAATTACCAACGTTAATATTACTCGTAGAAACATCAACCGAATTCGTGCAGTTAGACTGCTCTTGACCATAACGTGAACCTCCACTGATACCATTACCTTGATGTTGATGAATGCTCAACGATAATCCAGACATGATGTTGTTATAGCCAGTATGACTTGAGCCTACACTTCTATGGCCCATTTGACTGTTACAATCGCTACTTGGTGATGACAATTGATCCGAACTTTCTGACATTGTCACTGAAAACACCGTTTATCATCAACTATACTTGGAAATCACAATATCCAGAACTTACTTACTTAGTTTTTTTTTTTTTTTTGGTAGTTTATTCAATTTATTATAACGCAGTTATCTTCATTCCAAAATCTTCACATCATTTATTTATTAATCATCCACAATAATTTGATTATTGTTCTTGATCACTCGAATAAATTTTTTTCACAAACAACTATTTGATAATTTGATTGTAAAATAAAAAAAAATAAAAAAAAACATCAGTACAGAATCTAATAAATTCACGTATAAACATAAATAAAAATCTATGGATAAACACTTTGCTAATAATTCCGAATTCAGAGTTCAGTGACTAGTATGCATGAATAACTTGGTGTAATTGTTCTCGCAAAACCGCAAAGTAATTAAAGATTCTTCAAGGTTAGATAAAAAAAAAAATGACACTCGATTACGATGTATGCGTAAAGAAATTCAGGTGCGCCTTTACTTGTAAACTGTCGTTATTGGCGCGAAGCACGGTCACTGAGTGACCAAGTCACCAAGTTAGTAAGGGAATACTACCCGGCTGGTTCGACTGGCTACCGATGCGTTCCAGCAAACTACTACTCTATAGAGATATGGTATGAGTGAACTGATTTCTTTTTCTTCTTTTTTTTCGGCACACGACAGCAAGAGCCAGCACTCACGAGCTGGTATACTGTGCAGTGTGAGCGCTACACGGAGAACCAAGAGAGATAGAATAGGTGGCAATGGGATTGGTGGAATCAAAACGCACACGTTGTTGCGATTGGATGAACATTATGGGGTAGGTGCAACCCTCTGCCGTTTTTACTTGTAGGTAGACCCATTCTTTACATACAGCGAAGAGCTTTTTACTGATTTTCATACGAACCAGGGGACCAGGGGGTTCTCCTGGAATTTAAATTGATATTTCTATCAATGTTTGATTTATTATGACAATTTAAATAACGGATGGGAAATTATTTTAATTTAAATCAAGTAGATTATTAATTTTATGGAAGTGTATTGTTGAAATGATTAGCGGTGAATTTTGCATGAAAAAAAAAAAAATTATTTATAAATCAAAAAAAAAAAATTCTATGAACTAGGAAAATATTCAAAAATACTCAAGTGATATTGGACAAAATAAACGCCTTTTAAAAAAATGAACTTTTTTTTGTTGTATGAAAAAAATTGTTTGATACATTCGAGATAGTTTCAGTTTTGATAAATATTTTTTTCAATCAAGAATATTCATACTTAAGTCAAAATTTTTTTTCCCTTCAAATGAGTTATTATTGAACCAGTAAAAAATGATAAGAACCTGCACTAATAAAAATAATAACTTGGCTTAAAAGAAGAACGAAAGTGATAAAAGTGTTCAAACAAAAATTTTTGATTACAGATAAATTAATTATTTTATTTATTATCATCAACAGTCGTCGATTTTTGTTGTTCATAAAAATTCGCTTGATCGGTTAAGCATCGACACTTTTAGTAACAACTTTTGGCTGATAAGCCATCCACTACCGCTTTTGACAATTTATAAATTTTTTACTGTGCTTGCGCACTGAAATCACATCAGCTGATTCTTAACCTTAAGTTAAAGTTTTATAATAAATAATCACTCTGGAGCCAACAGTGAAGACTTCACTGTGAAGTTAAAAAAATAAGATGTATGTTAGGGATTAATTATGTTTCTTATCGGAATACTAATTTATTCAAAATAATCCATTTAATTGACTTTGACCTCTAGTTAAAGTTTTAGTTTGTTTCACGAGCGCAACGAGTATAACAAAATAGGAAAGTTCAAAAAACGCGTTGAACTCGGTCATGTACAACAATCTTCAGATAGAATAGAGTGAATTATCTTTTCTATTATATGTCCCGCCCTTATTTACCACTGAAATATGACCTTTTTTATCACGAGTTTTGAAAATTATCAATTGCGTAATCTTTCATTTAATGAAGATCTAACTACGTATATTATAATTTGCAGCACGTTTTATTTAGATAATGTATTCTAATAACAAACGCAAGTCAGTGTGATGAAGGGTGTCATTCACTTTGAGTGGGTTTAAGCTGAGGTATTGCATAGATCAATGGGCCGCCGGGTCGAGTGGTGAGTGACAAGATTTCTCAACGATGAGTTTGTTATTTTATTATGTTTCAAGTAGAGATTGCATTTATTGGTTTTAGACTCTGCTCAAATAAAGACAGTAGCAGTCGATGTCAGCAACCACGCCTTAACAATCCTTTGAATTATCTCCGTCTTTCTTGACTAATTAACTACGCATGGCAGTCACCAAAACATAACTTTAAAAATATAACTTATACATCAAATTCAAAGGAATCTAAAACGCCGAGAAAATATGTATGAAGAATAACAAAATTGTCAAGACAAATAACTACGATGTCATAATTTTTGTGATCAAATTTCGTGTGTAAAAAATTATTTCAAAAATATGAATTAAAAATTATATTTTTAGTCATTATTAAAAGATACAAAAAAAGTTGAAGTATGAATTCATGAGACATTTAATAGTTATTTCAGTTGCTGTATGCAATATAAAAAAAAAGATAATTTAATTTGTTAGAATCAAAATTTTGTTAAGAAGGAAGATACTCGTAAGAGAGGGGCGGTGCCGCGCATCGCGATGGCGTCTACTTCGATTTGGTGTCACATTTCCTAGAGGACGCCATTTTCTCTCCTCCAACGCTTCCACCCGCTATCTCATACGATGATGCACCCTCTTGCCTCTTATAGATGTCTAAAGAGAATTTGGCTCCAAAGTCTTATCAAAAGGATCCAGAGATTCCATTCCTGGTCTCCATTGTCTCAAACAGATATGCTGTCGAATCTTTCAAAAAAAATTCTTCTGCTTCTATTTTATTAATCTAATACTCGTTTTTAAAGAAGCAAAAAATATACTGCTAAGTCATCATTACTATGTATAAACATAGATCATTAAGATTGTTATAGAGAGGTGTGTAAAGTACGTACTGCATATACTTAATTTAAACAATAGATATTTATCCATCAGAGATAAATTTAAACATTAATATTTTTAATTTTATAGATGAAAACAAAAAACTACAATAGAGATCAAGAGAACAAACATCACAAGCGACAAACAAAACTCCAATCATTGGAATTCCCTGGGGAAAATTTATCGAGGGCGACGTAGAGATATGTAGAGAGGTGTAAAGCACTACCTAACACTTGATGGAACGAAAAGTTTCATGTTTCATTGCTGCTGTACGTTTAATTGCATTCCAAATTAGTTGTGTGAAAAATATCTACTTTGATAATCAAAACAGGTATAGTGATACTTTTTGTACTATAATATTATTTACTCAGTCTATTCTATTCAAAGTATATATATACATATATATTAAAAAAAAATTATTAAAGTAAAGAAGTGTACTAAAGAAGATAAATTTATGGTAGAAAAAATTATATAATGAAAGATAACAAAAATAAAACAAATGATAAAGATATATAGAAGAGAATGTACAAAATCGATTGTTATTAAATACGACCAACAACACATGTACAATTGGCGTAAGTGATAGCTCAAGTATGAGCTCGTATTTCTTCTTTTTTACTGTCTTGACCTGCGTGTAGTTCTGCAGCTGTAAATGAACTAAAATTAATCGTATATGAACAATAACAGATGTCATAAGATATCCTAACGATAACAACCTGCTTATCATAAATATTTTTAAATGTTTTACTTTAGGTACTAATTTATTATTGTTTGCATTATTTTTTACTCAACCACTTGAATATGAGTGCCCAAGATACCATATTATATCCACAGTTCGGTATTTGGCTATTGTATAGGATTAGTCAACGTAATCCACTTCTTATAGACCCATTAGTACGTCGATCCCAAGATTAAGCAGCAAGATTTTTGTTATGAGGCGTACAGGCGTGAATACAGGTAGTCTGGTCTGGTTTTTGCTTTATACCTAGCCACGAATTTTTTAAAAGAGTGTTAAGACCTCGAAATATGCTCTTTATGTGTCACTGACCATTTTCCGGTCTGTTCCCGGGATACTGAAAGATTTTAGTCTCTTCACTGTGTGTACTATACTTATAATTCTAACGTGTTGTCAAAGATGAACGGGGAGATTGCTCTTTTTTTCATCAATGCTAAAAACTAATTTTATATATCTTTTTTTCTTTAAAGAGATTTTTTTTATGATGACACTTGATCAGTAGAGAGTCTATTCTAGAGTAAAAAGGGGGATCATCCACCCTTGTCGACTGTCCCGACAATTTTCGATAGTGAAAGGAAGCTTGTAATAGCTCAACATCACCGATTACACGGTTAGTTTGATTCACCCCGTGATTTTCAAACTGTTATTTTAGACCATTACAATTAATACTATACTACAGTATAACATGCTTCTCGATTATTTTGTTCAAAAGATAAAGTATTACAATGAATTTTATTTAAATTATCATTATTCTCAGTAAATTAAAATTTTTTAATTTTACTGCACAGGTTTAAATACATACTTCTCAATACTTATTTAGCAGCTTCAATTAGTGTGAGATTAATTTTAATTAAAGCATTTTACAATACAGAAAATTCATCAAATCTGGGATATTAATAAGTATTTTTGAGTCAAAAAAGTATTTTAAAAATCATAATCAATTTATATAAAGTAAAAAGTTCTCCATTCAAAAATAAATTTTTAATCAAAATAAAATTTTCAATTTTCGTGTCTGTATGGGGGCGTCCATAAATTACGTGAGGCATTTTTGAGAATTTTTTGAGCCCCCCCCCCTCTCCCCCTTTGATGAGATTTCGTAAGATTTTCCTCAACTCCCTCCCCCCTCCCCTAATCTCACTAAAAAAGTGTTTGTAATGACCAAGAAAATTTCTTTCATTGTTAATATTTTCTTGGATCAAGAATATTAATAATTCAGTAAGGAATCCTTTTTTTTCTGTGCATACAGTAAAGTAGCACAGTTACATAACAAATCATAATTTT